CATAACATAATATAATATAATATAATATAATATAATTTAATATAATATAATATAGTATAAAATAGTATAATATAGTATAATATAGTATAATATAATATAATATAATATAATATAATATAATATAACATAACATAATATAATATAATATAATATAATATAATATAATATAATATAATATAATAAAACATAATATAATAAAACATAATATAATATAACATAATATAATATAATATAACATAATACAATATAATATAATATAATAGAATATAATATAATATAATATGATATAATATAATATAATGGAATAGAATAGAATAGAACAGAATAGAATAGAATAGAATAGAATAGAATAGAATAGAATAGAATAGAATAGAATATAATATAATATAATATGATATTATATAGTATAATATGATATAACATAATATAGTATAGTATATTATAATGTAATATAATATAATATAATGTAATGTAATCTAATCTAATATGATATAATTACATTATGTTCGGCGGCATGAATACGGCTTTCAGGTCCTGCAAGGACGGAAGTAAGTTACTGCAAGTCACAATGGCTCCTGTCATGATGGTCACCCCATTTCCAATCTTGCAGTGAGTGAACTTCAGGCGGAAGTCCTTCAAGTAGCCAAGGGGCACAGCTCCGAAGCAACAGGGCACCCTTACCCCAGCCACCCCTACCCCAGCTGGGTTTAGGGTTTAGGGTTTATTACCGGACCGGCCCTACCTTGCCGAGCTACGTTCATAGCCCCTCACTGTGCTTAGCAGGCTTATGATGCTTATGTATTGCACACATGGATCTGTGGCAAGAAACCGCATGAGCAACGACGCACGACACTAGTAGTGCCACTCTTGTACAGCTGAAACGGGGATGACGCCGGGGGCGGCGCCGGCGGAGTCCGGCGGAGGCGGTGACGAAAAACGAAGGCGATTCCAACGAACGCCACTACTACAGCTTTGAATACAGTACTACCGAAACCAATTCGACCATGGTGCAAAATCGAAGGCAACGGCGAGCAAGGTCTTCCGGGAGCACGCTTGTCGCCGTGAGTAGAACAGTCGAACTACAGTACGTCGACACAAGTCACGAAAAGCCGAAATGCGCAAAAACTAAGCGCGACACGTCTAAAACCTTGCAAAGCAACAGGACAGCTCGCCTCAAAGAAACATGCTAAAGCATGCTCCGACCACTCGAAATTCTGCGAGGTCTGTAGGACTTGCAGACGCATGGAATTGGAAATTGCACTTGGCGAGCAAGCCCCTGCAGTGCAGCACTCCTCGAATGAATGACACCTCACCCCTGCATCATAGTCCACGGTCACATCGTCTCCGATTTCTGTGAAGGATGCATCCCACAGGACGAACTCGTTCCTCAATCTACCGTACAGGTGGATGAACACAGTCAATGGTGGCCATGACATCTCCATTCTGGGTGCACACCTGGCCACAAAGAAGGAAACGCCTTGCTACGTTAAGTTTGGCCCGGGGTGCATGCAGAAGAACCGCTGGCCAATCTTTGCACCCAGCAGCCGCAGGATCGGGGCTTGCCAGCGGCTGCCAGCCGCCTGCCATCCAAACAGCTACTAAAAATGACAAGCTGGCAAGGCCACTGTGCGCCTGAAAGGGAAGCTTGAAGACTCGCTTCTGGCCGGTGAGGGCAGTGAACCAGCGCGTCACAGTGGTAGAGTAGTACGCCTAGGACAGTCGCCATGCCACCATTTATCCATTTATTTATCTGCGTATGTAGATTTATTCATACGTTTGTACAATTGGTATGCTCATACAGCATCTATAATATGCATATACATATATATATATA